AAACCCAGCAGCTGGGAGTTCAGCTTCTATCTTTTTTTAGTACTGATCAGAACTCCAGCTTAGATTAACATAGGGCTGGCAGGAAAACTTAGCTCCAAGCATGATAATTCAGGAAGGGCTTATAGGCAGAATATATCAGAGGAATCTATGCAGCGGTTTTCTTGGTGCACTTCTGTAGTAAGAAGGCTGTCTGCCTGTGAAAACTGAAGGAACTGTGTTCTAGAAGAATCTCATGAATGAGCCTATTAAACATCTCTACCTCTGAAGTCTGCCACCCAGTGATAAATTAAACTGAGATGGCTGAAGGCAGTCACCCTGCCCTCTGCCAGCTGTCCACCTTGTTGCCCTCCTTCTTTAGCAAGAGCAGATAAATGACATCCATATTTGCTCCTGAACCATTGCAATTTATAGGCTGGCATGGCTTTAAGTGTAAGCTGCTGTATGAAGCCAGCCCAGCTATCAGACTGGAAGCTGATGGGGTGCAGGAGAGACAGGTTCTGTGCGGCTGTCCCTGCTGCCTCTGCTTCACAAGGTTGCACTGTAGTATTGTAACTTTTACTCATCCTGACTTAAATGGATGTCATGTCACACTTCAACACTACCAGTAGATATTTGGCAGTCAATATGACTTACGGTGTAGCTAGATTGCACTTCCTCACTAGAATACCATGTGGAGAAATTGCAAAGCGTTGAGGCTCTGCTTAAGAGCACAGATGCAGCAAGAATGGTCAGGATTAAGTCAGAGGCTGAAGTGAGAACCCAGTTGTCATGCTAAGGAGAACCTGGGCATTTCTGATGTATCCTGTGTCAAGGTTTATAAATGTTTCTGCTTCTCTGGCACACTGGCCTCTGGGAAAAAGACTTCTCAATTTAATTAAGCCTAAGAAATGTGGAGGTAACAGGAGAAACACATTAGTCTGGATGCCTGCCTCCTCCTTGTTTGTTCATCCTGGTGCTTGGATGGGCACAGCACCAGTTGGCTGTTCCCTTGTGAAATGATTAAATAATCCAACATCTGGCTCATTTCTGAGTATTAATACCTGCTTAGGTCCAAGCTAGACCTTCTAAACAGACTTGAAATTTCTAGGCTTCGTAGAATCTTAAGTGCAAATTCCAAGGAAACTGATTATGTGCCTTAAAGGTAATTAAATGGAGTGACTTTGGGAATTGGTGGCAGCAGGCTGTCTGTGGGGATGACAGGCTTTGACACTTAGTCCTACCATGTCCTTGTACAACTCACCGCTCAAAATAGCTGCATTTCACTAGGGCTACTTGACTGGCTGTGAAGTGCTGGGTAGTGTTGTTCTAGGAAGGTAACAGCTGACTGTTTCTCCTCTGGTCAGTGCTAGCTCCGTGGAAGCTGGGGAACAGATGCAGGACATGTGATGTTAACCTTTCACATTTAGCCATCCATTCCCTGGTCTCCCACAGCAAGATTTCCCAAGCAACCTCAGGAGCTTCAAGGAAATGTTTTGTGTTTTACAAAACCCATCTTTACCCCTAGGCCTGTACCCATAAGCATCTTTAGCAAAGCTTTCCTGTTACTGTTTCAGTGTTGCATGGGCTCCACAACATCTTTTCTCTTAACTTCTGTGAGAGCTAAGGGGAGAACTTGGCTATTTAGTTGTTCACTAAGAGGCAGCCAGGGGTATTGTGTCTAGGGAAAGGTGACCCTGCTGAACTGGGGAGCTGTTTGGGCCCTCGAGAAAGACTTTCACATTCTTCACATTAGCTGCCACTTGACTTCTGCAGAAAGAAAAATCTTGTATGGCACATAAGCTCCCTAGAGTGCTGAGAAGGCTCAAATATCTGCAGATGAATCCACTTCAGCAAAAAGCCAACTCCACCAGAATGCTGACTCTGAATGTGGGATGTTGAGTGGGTGCTGCCAGACACCCAGACCTGGATGGCCTCGGGCAGCAGGAGACAGCAGATGCGGCATGCTGCTTCTCCCTGGGAGGTGGAGGAACGCTACCTGCACTGGGTGCTTGGACCTGCACAATGAATTGGACTCTCATAAACAGCAACTTGACTTGCCTGTCAGAGCACAGTGTACTTTTCAAGTAGCAAATTTCATCACCTCCCCTGCCAGGGTAAGAGGAGGTAGAGGGATTAGTTTGAACTCTGACAATCATATAATAACATGGCAGCTGTACACAGCTAATAATCCACCGGGAGGATTAGCAAACTTAAAAAGTTGTCTAGCTCTGCATAATGGGAAGCTAAGAACAGCAGCTTCCCTGTTCTACCTATTGCATTTGCATTCCCTCCAGTGGAAGCATAGAACATGATGAGACAAGGTTTTCCAGTCTGTTATGAAATGGGAATCTAATGTGTGACTAATGGAGTATTGCTAGCAATTCTACAAGCATCCATTCGGTCAGAATATGGATTTAAGCTTTACTATGAGAGTGCATCTTAAATACTTACTGTAAAAGAGCAGATCGCGATTTCAGCACACTAATGTTAGAACGTGTCATTTGAAGCTCTCTGGGAGTAATGTCCTACAGCCTGTGTGCTCTGCATGTCCTGAAGTCTGCCAGCAGACTGCTCTGCTAATGCATGGAGAATACCACTGAACTCCTCCCAGGTTCCCTGGCATAATTCATATGCAACTGGCAAAAGAGCCCAGTACAAAACATGGGACAGTAAAGTGCCAAAGAGTAGACGTAGCAACTGGAGTTGCTACTTTTCTTACCACCCTCTCTCTTTCCCCACACTCCAAGGACAACTTTGAGTGCTAGATAGCTCAAGGGTTTTTTCCCTGGGGTAAGCGCTTTTAATCACAGACTGGAGACCAGAATCAGCCATAGTAGTAGGAAGGCAGTTTCAGAGCTTGGATCAATTTACTAATGAATAACTAGAGTAACCAGCTCTGACACAGCCTGGAAAATACAGAGCTGTGACTCCTCATCCTCCCTGGTCCCCTTCTGGAGTGGCAGAAGCAATGAGTAACAGCCTGCCTGTGCCATGGGCTGCCCCTGTGCTCAGCTGGCTCCATCACTGACTGCTCCAGTGATGGCTCATGCTGCCTCCTCCCATGTCGCAGGGCATAGGGAGCAGCATAGGAAATGTTGTGCTGGGGCTTGTACTGTGCGACTTTTCTCTTCCGCTCCAGTAGAGAATTCCAGTGGAACACTGGAGTGCACAAAGGATGAAAGCTTCAGCACAACGTGCCCCTGCCAGCACTTGGCAAGGCTGCAGGACCTTTCTCACTCTTGCAGTGCAAACAGGCACTACCACTCACAATAAGATGGTAGCAAAATACTAGTTTCCACCAATAGCTTCTTCCAGTGTTTCCTCCCAGTTGCAACTGGTGCTGCTGAGAGTCCATGGGAAAAAACTCTAGTATAGACAAGGCCTCTGCATGCAAATGAACGCTACATAAATAACCCCCATCTTCCCTCAGTTCCTAGGTTGTGTACTCTATGCACTAGAATTCTCTTCAAAGACCTCCCAGTTCATTCTTTATGCTCTAATTAAGGATCAGTGCCAATTAACTATCTTCAATAGAGGAGCATCTTCCGCTCAGCAGCCAGGAAGTGTCTGAATAAGATCCTGCTGTACAATATGCACATGAAAAGGGAAGCCCTCCCTTTTTGGAAAGGGCTTCCAAGATTAAAAACCCAGTATAGAATACAGGATGCCTACTTTAAAAATATTGTGCGATAAGATTAACTGATTGCATCCACGAATGCAGAGTGGCTTCTTACGTGCTTCATGTAGCACTCAAGCATGCTATTGCACCGCCAAGACTCTGAGCTAGATACCATCGTGGCAATTGCAGGTGTGAAAACAGAACATAACACTTTCTAGAAACTGATATTAAAATACTGTCTGCTTTTTCTTAGAAGGGTGTTATCTAGTCAAACATCAGCAGAAGTGCAGTGTCAAATCTGATGCTAAATATTGATTCAGATAAAAAATTACCAATAGTTACTCCAGCATCTAAATTGCCCCAGTAGTCCTCACCTATTGCCTTTGCTTCCTATAGATATTCACCTGTTCCATAAATAACCAGGCAATTTAGATTGCTGCTGCACTGTGTTCTGAGCGAGAGCTGTGCTAATAGTCTGAGCAGGCAAAGGCAGGGGAATGTCATTTCTGAGCTTGGCTGGAGATGAATACATCAGCTCCCCAGCCAGTTACAGGCTAAGTTTAAAAAGCGCTATTCTAAATGAAAATTAGATGGTTAAACACTGTGGGGGAGGGGGGGAAATAGGATAATCCCTTCAAAGCTTCAAATGGAAGATTCTCAAACCTGCTTCAGCTGATGTGAGACATATGAACTGTGTCAGAATTAAGACCCCTGCAAAACTTCAGCCAGGTACACCACCTGCACTTTTTGGGTAGATACACTTGAACTGCCACCACTGCCACTGAAGCTAGCCACCCAGATAATTGTAGCTACATCTGGTGACCATTCACAGGCTGTTCTGAAGAATAAAGGGCTACAAGAGGAGGAGCACAGACTTGATGGGAAACAGGAACTGTAAAACTGTATTGGAGGATGGGGGAACGCAGCAAATTATTCCATGAGCAGCAGAATCCACAAAGTCTAGTCTGATGGGATTTACACCCATAACATCTGCCAGGCCGCTGATATTTCAATATATAATAACATAATATATTTAGACCTGTCAATGAATTTGAGTGCTTTTGTGGAGCAGATGGTGTACATCTCATTTTTCACACACACAAAAACCTGAACAGCCTAAATAAATCTCTTAGGTTCAAGGAGAATCCCCATACCTGCTCAGCGGAGACTAGGGTTTTACGTTTGAGTTTTGCTAACCGATCCCTTTGCAAAGAGCAGGGGAAGGGTCTATCCTAATATACCTTGGGAATTTCTCGAGAAGCTTGTTAGAATCCTGATTGTGCTGAGATTTGAGCTCCAGATAGGAAAGGTGGGAAGGAATGCAGAACAGCACACTGCAACCAAGTCACTCCAGTGAACTTAACCTTTTATTCCATGTGGGGTTCAGCTCTTTTGAACTTACCCGAATCCTTCTCATGGCTGCCACAATCTCCACACGGCTGTTGGGTCTGGGTACATCCAAGCTACCGATGTACTGAAAGACAGAACAGTGAAATATCTGTGAAGTAATACACAAGTTAATGGTGTAGTCTTCTTCAAAACAAACAGAATCTCTCATTAATTTAGTCCCTGCTTGGTTAGACTCTCTTGACCCAGGACGTGATAGGAGTATCTGTTGTGGATAACGTTATCAAAGTCAGGGAGAAGTTCATGGATTTCTAACGTCAGGTGTGAGCCTCTGACCTCATTCATATTCTGGATGTGCCTTTGCCAGTGCTTTGCAGGGCAATGTCTGTTGCTAAGTCATAATCCAGTGGGTCTGAAAATGGGACTGTCCATCCCTTGTCCTTCCTCACTACACCTGCTTTTAAAAGACTCAAAGCTAAAAGCACATAAGAGTTGGAAAGTTCCCAGGATGTGCAACAACTAGCTGTCCTGGAAAAGGTTCGTGATTCTGGCCTAACTTCTCAGTCTGGACCATCTTCCCTCTGGACACCACTGTCCCTGCTTGGGTGGACCAGCTCAGCTGTCTGCACAATCCTGGTAAACCCACTCAAATCTGCATCCTACACCAGCTGTTTTTAACTATGCTTATGGGAGCTGCAGTCCTAAACAAGCTGCCTGGCTGAGCTCTGACAGCGGCTGCCCTTGGCACTGGGTGTCTGCATTTAAGCGTAAGCATCAGTCCCAGCAGGGCCCCTTACCTGTAGGCTGCGACGCGGGCAGACGGCAGGTTGCCAGCACCTCCGCCTCTACCACTTCACCACACCTACAGCTTTCTGCAAGTCGGCTGCCTGTTCTCTTGCATGCAATGGCAGTGTGCTGCCGACACTACGTGGGTTGTTAGGGAAGACCTGCAGGCGGACAGCTTCCTGCTGCTGGCGTTTCTCCCTCCTGTGTGCTGTTCCCTGCGCTGCCTGTACTCTCCCCTTGCGCTGGGTTGTAACGCTTGTGTGCCAAAGCAGAGTCTGGTCGTGCACCTGTTGGCAGGAGGCGGCTGCTGCAGTACGGTGGTACCTGCGAGAGCACACGTGGCACAGATGCACACAAGGAGCGCTGCCCGCACTGCTGCCAAGCGGAGGAGGCACAAAGCTGCCAGCTCAGCCTTGGGAATGAGGAAAACATGAGCGTCCTGGAGAGTCACCTCACATATGGAGCAAAAGGCCATTAATGTTGTAAAGCGGTGTGGCTCACAGCTCTGAGGAAAGACTTGCATATCAAGGGCATGTTGGTGAGGGCAAGAAAAATGCTATCTGAGTGAGAGGGTGAGCAGCCTGATGAGAAATGCCAGTATCCTGCCAGCATGGGCTGGTGCTGGGTGCGGACCTGCGGCTGTGGCTCAGGCAGCTGAGGGCAGGGTGCCGGACTCAGCGCTGGCAGGTTCCCAGCAGGGTCTGTCAGCTCCCTCAGTGTAACACAGCCCATCTCTGCATGGTTGTCACGGGCAGGTTGGGGTGGTGGGGCAGAGGGCAGTTTACAAAGCTTAGTCACCCTCTCAAGAGCATTTGGTTCATGAATTGCATCTGTTTTTAGAGTGGGTGGTTTCAAGTTGTGGGTTTGGGGTTGAGTTTTTTTGTTGTTGTTGTGGGGGGGGTTTTGGGTTTTTTTTTTTTTTTTGAAAGTTGTTCCCCTGTAGAGGGGAGGAGAAGGGGCAGCTAATCAGGAGGTCCTGCAAACATTCAGGGTGATAATATACATACAAACAGAGACAAAATACTTCCCCAAGAGCAGCCCCATAGCTATTGCCATTACTGACATAGTTCTGGTTTTATTTCTCTACTGTAATGCTTGCAGCTTGCAATGTGTTTTATCTTGAAAAACTTCTACTTAATAGGGCTTTCAGAGATGAGTTCTCCTGGCTCAGTATTTACTGCTCTTTCACCTGCCTTGAAATAAACACTGCAAGCAATCTGAAAGGTCATCTGGCTTTTCTGATGCTTCTGTAAATGCCTTTGCAAAATGGCATTTTTAAAAGCAGTTAAGTTCAGCTATAGCCTTTGGTAAACCACAGGAGAGTCAAACCGCTCAGACCATGAGAGCTTGAGGGCAGCAGGGAAGGGAGTGACAGAGCTAGGATTTCCTTCTGCCCTGGCGGCGAGGGCATATCTGTATCGCTCCAGATCTGTGGTCTCTTTGGTTTGCAGGCATCTCCTTCCCTGCTCTGTGGTGGCTGTCAGTACAGTCACAGGTAATCCAGATTAATTCAGTGCAGCCAGCTGGCCTTTTGTCTGTGAACAGCAGAGCTGCAGTGGGGAATAGGCCATGGTACCAAAGATAAATTAATAGGTGGGGGCAAGAGGAGAGCTGGTGACTGCTGAGCCAGAAGAGATTCTCCCAGTCTCCCTGCTTTGGCCTTGCTGCAGTTTGGGTATTCGCGTTCCCATGCAGAGCCCTGCCAGCTCAGGACGCTCTGCACAAACAGCCACCTTTCCACAAGCAGCTCCCAGTATTGACCTCCTGAAATTTGTCCCTGAAGATTATAGGGCAAGAAAGACAGTTTGGTATGTGGAGATTAGAGACTAAATGTGGTCAGTAAGATTGCCTGGTGTGAGACACCTGGCAGCCTGTTACAGCCTTGTCATTGTCAGAGTTGCAGCTGACTGATGTGCCCACAATGAGCGTCTTAATTGGAAGAGACAGACTTTAGAGGAGAACCAAGCAAGCACGTTACTAAGGTAATGCAAACCCCATCTCAGACCCACACATCTTAACAGTGTGTTATCCACTCTCTGAATAGCTCTGGATGCCTGAAGCTGTCAATCTGAAGAAGCCTGTTTCACTCAGTTAAAGGTACAGTTGCTTCACATCTTTTAAAAATCAAAATAAGGATTTTTCTTCTCTTCAGCACAGTCTGTGGCATAGCAAATGTTAATTTAAAAGAAGAATCAAAGATTAATTGGTTTTCTCCGCTATGGAAGAGGGAGGTTTTTAAAATACATGATTAATTGTCTATTCAGATCCATCCTATATCCTGCTTAAATCTTACAGCTCTTTTAGCAGGAAAACCAAAATGCACAAAATCCGCATCTCAAAGCTTTATTTGAATATATATGCCCCTTCTTCCCAGCTCAGGAGACAGCGGGCGTGAATTCCATTTCTAATCTGTGTTAGGCCACCTGCAAAGAAGGGAAGGGAACCCTAGAGTTGCTCCAGCAAAATGCAATTCTTCTTGTCAGCTGAATTATAAACCCTTTCCCCATGCTGTCTACAGAATGTCAATTCCAATGGAGTCACTCTCCCAGAGCGATGGTGTGCTGCCAGACTGTTCTTCACGATCAATACGAAATTTCTGACAATATCAGTATTTCTTTCTGATACCTGAAGACTGCATGCATTTAAACGAAGACCGTGCCTGCCCAGCTGTTCATGCAGGGAACAGGTCAGATGGAATGAGGTTTTAAGCGGCACATAACAGTCTGCTGGTTTCCAGGGGAATACAGAGCTGTTACCTCACTGCGGCAGGAACGGGGTCCTGCCCCATGGGGGACAGGACGGGCACCAGATCGAGCAAGGACGCGCGCCTGGCGCAGGCAGTATCCATGGCGCTGGCAAGAGGGGTCTTTCCAGATCAGTTCTCGAATGAAGCGCACAAGGCAGCTTCTGGGGATTAAACAGCTGAAAAAAAATACTAGGAAAAGAGCAAGAACCTGTTTGATCGTGACAAGTAAACGCAAGGCTTTCATCATTGGGGTTTTTTTTTTGGTGTTTTCTTTAGACTCTCTTTAGATCTGGCCCACAGTTGCGTGGGCTAGGGACACCTCCCGAGCTGAAGAAACACACCGTGGTCGGGGCTGGAGGGGGCACGGCGAGCCCCGGCCTCGAGCCTGCGGTGCCGTCGCCCCGTGCCCAGCACATGCCCCACTGGTGGCGGCTGGTCTGCACTGGTCTGCAACAGGCGAGGGCAAAGAGGGCCCAGCGTTGGGGGGGGGGGGGGGAACCTGCCCGGGGAAACCTCGGCTTCTGCCAAAGGCCCCCCCCGGAGCCTGGAAGGGGCTCGGGGCTCTGAAAGCCGGCGGGG